GCGGCGACACTCAATTGGAGCGTTGTTGTTTGTGGTTTGTTGTTTGTTGTCCTGTGCTCTTGTTCTTGTTCTTGTTCTGGTTCTTGTTGTTGGTGGTGGTGCTGGTGGTAGCGCAGCAAGAAGGGTGGTAGCGCAGCAAGGGTAGTAGCAGCGTAGTGGCAGTGGCAATGCCAGTACTGGCAGTCGTTGTAGAAGCAGCGCCACGAAGGAGGAAGAGCAGTAGTGGTAGTAGTGGCAGTAGTGGTAGCAGTGGTAGTAGTGGCAGTAGTGGTAGTAGTGTTTGTAGTGGTGGTCGTGGTGGTAGTCGTGGTAGTAGTCGGACTAGTGGCCGGAGTAGCGATAGGAGTAGCGCTCATGTTGGGTAGTGAGAATAGTAAGAATAGTACTAGTAGTCGTAGTAGGAGTAGTAGTAGCAGTAGTAGTGGTAGTAGTAGTAGTAGCAGTCGTAGCAGTAGTAGTAGTAGTAGTAGTAGTAGTAGTAGTAGTAGTAGTAGTAGCTGTAGCTGTAGCTGTAGCTGTAGCAGTAGCAGTAGCAGTAGTAGCAGCAGTAGTAGTAGTATTCATAGTAAGTTCGTAGTGGCTGCAGGAGTGAGGAGGAGGATAGGGAGGAGCAGGAGTAGGAGTAGGAGTGGAGTAGGAGTAGGAATAGGAGTAGGAGTAGGAGTAGGGGTAGGAGGGCACGCAGGAGTAGTAGTAGTAGTAGTAGTAGTAGTAGTAGTAGTAGTAGTAGTAGTAGTAGTAGTAATAGTAGTAGTAGTCGTGGTGGTGGTGGTGGTGGTGGTGGTGGCGGTGGCTAGCAGTAGTAGTGGTAGTAGTAGCTGTAGTAGTGCTAAGTCCTAGTGCTAGTGCTAGTCGTGGTGGCAGTAGAGCAGCAGCAGTAACAACATTTAGAGTAAACTTAGAGCTGTTCTAGCTGTCATTTTCGTCGTTGTCGCTGTCGTCATTGTTGCGGTGGCTGTAGTTGTGATCGTGGCTGGTTGTGGCTGTAGTTGCGGTGGCTGTAGTTGCGTGGTTGTGACTTCATGCTCGTTGTCTTCGTCTCACTTGGCCGCTGTTTTTCATCATCGTTGCCTCATCGTCATCGACATCTCGTGGTATGTGGCAGGCAGCGCACCTGGAGCTTTTGAGCAAGGCAGGGGCCTCGCGGGATCTGGGGCACGGCCGGGCGTTGGGCGGCTGTGGGACTTGTCGGTTGGTGCGAAGAATCAGCGCTTCCGATTTGCTCGCAGCTGCGCATTGGTCTAGGGCTTTTGGGCCTCTTGGCTTTTTGTCCGGCTTTGCTGTAAGCCTTTTGGGCTTCTTGTGTTCAATTGCTGCTGCTCGCTTGCTTGAGCCTTCAACGTGCGCATCACCAGCTGACTAGGCGCGGAACCACAGGTGAACGCAGACACCAGAAATTGCCCTACGCGCAGGTTTCAGCAATTCGCACACCCCATCAATTATGCTTTCCTTCACGTTCGACGTGACGTGACTGGTTAAAGAGGCGATGCACCAGGGTGGCCTTGACTGACAACAGGTTGTGCTTTGCAACGCTGCCTGCACGCGGCTTTTGGGCTGCTCATGCACGCTATCACTTACAGCAGTATGGCTTACTTTGTGGAGAAATACGCTTGGGGTAGGAGCAAAGGCCGGCCAGCTGAGGGCCGCACATCCAAACCATCCAATTGAGATCTTCACGTGCACCTCTGCTTGGCACAAATGTTTAGATATATTGCATTACGTGCATGCTTGAGCATGACGTTTATCCCGTCCAGTGGTGCCATCCCGATCGCCCACCAATTTGGCTTGGCGACTTGCCGGCTTGGCGATGCGTCGCCGGCATCAAGCAACCTACGGGCAGTCCTTGCGCTCCACAGCGCCCGATACATGAACATGCTTCAGGCAAGACCGCGCATTGCCTTTCCTACGAGAAGTACAGCAACAAGACTGGTTGAGCATCTTTTTCCTGGATCAGGAAGGACATTGCTGACTCATCTTACTCTGGGCCCACACCGCAACGATGTACACAAAGCTTGCGATTCCGGATCCTGAAGCGGGGGCCGGCAATCTGTCTTGTTTGCTTTTTCCGTGTGAGGAATGTCTGGGGTTGCTTCACCTTTGCCCTCAGGCTCCAAATGCGCATATGCATTTTGCACATTGAAGTCCAAGGGTCTATGACCTGGGGAATGTTCGCACATCGTTTTCGGGAAAATCTCTAGGAGTAGGGATGGTGAAAGAGTAGATTTGAGCCTGAGCATGAATGCTTAACCTTCTTTCGCTTCCCAAACCTACATTTGTCTTTGTGTATCTTTTGATATAATTATGCAATATGTTACCTACTTATTTGTATATCTTGATAGCAAAAATCATCACCTATTCCTGAAATTTGACAATCACTCCATTCCATTTTGTTTGGCTTCTAATGTTTCCATTGTACTGTGAAATTTTGACCAAATACCACCTGCTTTTTGTTTAGACACTTTCACAGATAATTTTCAGGGGACAATATTTGAATCACAAAGTTCCATACATCTTTCATTGCCTTCTCTAGAGCTAGTTAAAACGTGTTAAATTAGTGTCATCTCCTACAGAATCAATATCTCCTGTTCTAGTACATTTTTGGATAGAACAAAAGATTGATCAGTGGCTTGATAAGCAAACAATCTTCAAAAAAGCTCATTCCAGCTACATTCAATAGGGTTTGGTTGTACCTGGCATTGGGTGAAGGAGTTCGACATGATCATGCGCGCAACAAATACAATGACAGATAGTCTATTGATAGTTTGGGGCGCATTTCCCACAAACACCAGGGGGCCCAGGGGATTCATAGCTTGCCCGGGAATCTGATGAAATACCTGGGGTCATTTGGCTGTAGGTCAAAACCAACATTTTGTGGTAGGTGCACCACCCTTTTTAGAACCTGTTTTAGTGGGGATTGGGATGTTCACTGGGGTACGATTTGGATTTTGACCCATGGCCATTTCTCAAGAAAAGATGTCGCTGAGGGCCACTCCACCTCGCCTGTGCGCCGTCCCGTGACGGAGCCTGAGCCAGAGGAGGACCATCTCCATGAATCTGTTGGCCATCAAATTCAATAGGGAGCCACCTCAAAAGTGATTGGTGGACAGGAACCCCCACCTAAATGATGTCCACCAAAGAAATCCCCTAGTTAACGTTCATCCCTTTTCTGTTTTGGTTCAGTCCGAAGCCACGTTGCGAGATCCCTCCTTCAGGCAGCGAGGAAAACTAGGCTGTGTTGAACATTTCCGCGCCAGATCCATTCGCCTTGCAATCACTTGTGCTGCAAGTGCCAGGACATACACCTCATTTCCCTGTGAAAGGGCTTGTGCCTTTAGCCGATGCCCGGCCATTTTGGTAGCTGCTGCCCCTAACAAGAGGGGCTGATCTCACCCTTGAGCTTGCAGTGCGAAGCAGCAATTCAAAAGGCGCCGAAGGTCTGAGGACGAGTCTGAGATGGGACAGACCCATCAGCCCAAGAGCCCAAACTCTAAACCTTAAACCCAGCAGCCAATTACCCAACAGCCCAACAGAACAACCCAGCAACAGCCTCGCCCTGCGTTCCGATTTTTTTGCTCAAAGTGAGCTTGATCCAATGCATGCGGGGCGTCATCGCCCTGAGCATCGAGGCCTCCCGAGATGTCGCGGCCGGCAGATGGCCCCGGGCGCTGCGGTTGCTGCAGGCGGCCTCGGCCCAGAGCCTGCGGCTGGACGCGCACGCCGCCAGCCTGGCCGTGAAATGCTTCTCCCGGCAGAAAAGCTGGGCCGCGGCCCCAATGCCCACGCGGCGGTTTGGTGTGGGGGTTGGCCCGCGAGAAAAAATCCGGACACGGGTTGAGCAAATTTGCGACTTGCAAGTCTCATGGACCATTGGAGCTGAAACAAGGTGGACCCGTTTTGGATTCACAAAAGGACTCCCTCCTCCCGAAATCCATGGATTTCTACCTTAAACACCTTCTAAAAGTGGGAGTATTGGACCTGCTGGGCGTTTTTGGATATTTGTTTTCGTCTGAGCGTCGTTGTTTTCGTGTTTCGGGCGGGAGCCCCCGCCTTCTGCCCAGAAGCCAGGCGCGGTGCCTGGACGTCCTGCGCGCGCGCTTCGCCCCGGTCGACGTGGTGCTCTGCGGCGGCGCCCTGGACGTCTGCGGGAAACGTCGGTGGCGAGCCGCGCTGGGCGTGTTCCACGGCCTAAGGCCCAGCGGCCTGCGACCCAACGCCCGGGGCCCGAGCGAGACCCGCGAGCTGCGAAGGCCGCGAAAGGCCCTTTCTCTCCAGTTTTTTGGTTGTTGTGGACTTTATTCTTATCATTCTTATTATTTGCTGCTGAGTTTCCCCTAAAATCGTTCCACCCGGCACAAGCTTCCGCCTTTTGGCGATGTTGCTTTCAGACATTCCATGGGCATGAGCACCCAAAACAAGGTGCAGAAGCAGTCAACGATTTCCATACCTCAGTTCTGCCCCTCGTTCCACCCAGTCCCTGCCCTTTGAGGGCTCGCTTATGGATTTTTGGCTATTGCCAGCAACGAGTCTCCTGCCTAGAGAGTTCCACCCAGTAGCCTACCTCTTGAGACCTCTTTTGAGAGGTTCGACCTCTTGGACAGTCGAGTTGCAGCGCAAGAGCCAGGACAGAGGTGCAGAAATTGACGACTATTCCGGTTTGGAAATAGTCGACTCTCTCCATACCTTGGTTTTCTGGTTCAATTTCGCTGTATCCAACAAATTCCTGCCTTTTCAAACCTCCTGCGAGGTACTACCTTTCGTGCCTCCTAGGTCCTACTCCGCAAGGGTGTTTGATAGTTCCCCGAGAAATTTCGGATTGGTGGACAGAAATGTTGGCGTCCCTACTTCAAGTTCATACCCATGTGAGAAAAGGCCTTTTTGAAATCTTGTGGGTAGATTTGTAAGGCAGAGTTGTGTTTGTTGGCTGGTTTGTGGGGGCCTCTTGTGCGAATCTTCCATTTCAGAAAGTAGGTTTCTAGTCTAGCAACAAATCTTGGCTGACACAGTTGGATATGTGTCAAAATAGGGGGACCCCTACCCCAGTTGGGGTTTTCCTTTTGGAATCCCATTGAGCCAACCCCTAAAAGTGCACCCTCAAGGCACGTGCGCCCAATTGGAGAATCAGGCCATCACCTGCAATTCGGCCATATCAGCATGCTCCCGGACACAGCGCTGGCTGTTGGCGATCGAATTCTTGCGGGAGGCGGCAGTGATTTTGTAGGCTCTTGAGCATGCGAAAGCGATTCCTATGGGCCATTGTAGCCGGCGGTTACACGCTCCGGTTTAGTGGAGGGTATAGAAAATGCCAATGTGACTCTTTACAAGCACGTTGGATAGAACCAAAAGGCAAGGGGTTTTGCCAAGCTGCTCACTTGGCTTTCGTCCTGGCCGTGGCCCAGCCTCTCCCTGAGATGTGCAACCAGAGCCTCCGGCTTTTGAGCACCTCCCTGGACGCTGCCACCAGCGTCTGGCATCAGGCGCGGCAGCGCAGGCTTTGGGTTACAAGGGGTCTTCCCCTTTTTGAGCATAGGTGTCCTTTTTGGTGGTTTTGCTAGAAAAATAGATGGCCCAGTGGTTGAATCATCTACCAGGGCCATCTATTCCCCCTAAAAGGGCACCTATCTTTTTCAGGTTGGTTTTCAGGGGAAGTTGGGCCACTTCCAGCTTCGGGGCATCCAAAAGGTCCAGTTGCCCTTGCAGCGGGGTTTTCGCAAGTCCACGTGGGCGGGACTGGCGCTTGGCCTAACCCGCTAAAGTCTCGCACAGAATGCTGCAATTTAAGACCCGGAAGGGTTGTTCTATGGCACGGCAAGGGGCGGGGTAGAACCACAAGAATGAGAGCCACAATCATTGTTTTGCCCAAGATGCCGCTGGCGCAGACCTCGGAGCAGCAGACAAACCATAAAACAAGGAAAAAACAAAACAAAAACAAAAAGCAAATCCCGTTCCGTCGCCACCTTGGATGAAGCACCTCAGCTCTGTGAAGCTGAGGCGGTGCTGATGCTGGCGCGGCGTGCGAGTCGCGGCATGGGCTCGGGGCCCAGCAGATTCTGCCTGCGGGTTTCCGCTGGGGCGAACTGGGGCGGGGGCTTCCACCCGGGCTTGGGGTTTGGTTGGTGGGTGGGTGGGTTTGGTTGGTTGGTTGGTGGGTGGGTGGGTTGGTTGGTTGGTTGGTTGGTGGGTGGGTGGGTTGGTTGGTTGGTTGGTTGGTGGGTTGGTTGGTGGGTTGGTTGGTTGGTTGGTTGGTTGGTTGGTGGGTTGGTGGGTTGGTTGGTTGGTGGGTGGGTGGGTGGGTGGGTGGGTTGGTTGGCTGGCTGGCTGGTCTTCTGAAAGCCAGCCTGGTTGGGCCCCTCTGAAAGCCAGTCCTATCCAAAACAGCAAGACTTGAGGATACAGCGTGATTGGGGCCAATGTCGCCGCGGCCGCTCTGGCTGCGGGCTCTGGCTGGCACAGGGCCTGTGTGCTGACTGATCGGGGCGATGCTTATGGCTGGACTGCGGTCATCTCATCCTGCAGGCGTGCGGCTGGAAAACATATCTAGAAGTCAGCCCGGCATGTCATGCCACGGCTCCCTTCCTTCCAATAGATTTGAGTGGGGTCCCAATGAGAAAGCCCACGGAAGATATCTTTTTCATCCATCCTTGTTTCAGTTTGGACGGGAGTCGTTTTTCTTTTTGCTTTCCCCTCTTGGCAGGTGGGAGAGAGCGCAGGCGCTTGCCTGTCGCATGGCGTTGCTCCGGGTGGCGCGCAATGTGGTGACCTTGAATGCTTTGATCGGCTCGCGCGAAGCTGTGGCTAAGCCATGGGAAGGGACCCTTCGGCTTCTGCGCGGGGACGTGCCTTGGCTGCGGAGTGTGGGTGCGGCGGCTGGGTTTCCTTTTCGGCTTCCCTTCATAAAGCGCCCAGAAAAAGGGAGTAAGCAACCAACAACTAGAAACGCATCGCCCCACTTGGGCGAAGTCAAACATTCAGCAGAATCGGCCTAGGAAGATGAGTTGGAGCTGTGTCACTGTCTCACATCCGCTCGCTTCGTTCGTCTTTGCCCTTTCGCACGCTGGATCCGTTCACCCGTTCACTCGCGGCTGGGGCTATTCATTCCTCAGCTCATTCACTCTTGAATACGGTGTACCCACTTTTATGTAGTAACATTTCGATTGGGAATTTGCTATCTCTTCCTCATTCCTATTTCCCTTCTCTCATGTATTATTTCTTATTTTTCCTGGACATCCGCGCTGAAAGAGAACACCAAACAGGGTCCCGGTGTTTCTGGCAGCTTGGGGCAACGTTCTTTCATGGCAAGCTGTGAAGCGCATTGGTTCATCTTGCGTTGCGAGGCCGTCACTTGCAGCTCGCTCATTGCCTCCTGCACTGCCGGCCTGCAGTGGCAGCAGGCCGTGGAAGCGTTGGACGCTGCTCGGGGTGGCTTACGTCTTGATGGCATCGCCTGGGGCACCGCCGTCGCTGCCTGGGCATCCGGTTCCATGTGGGAGGCATCGCTCCGGCAAGCGGTGACGACACTGTCCAACTGGGAGGGGCTGTCTGGTGCAGTCACCAGCACTGTGCTTGGCAGCTGCTTGCGCTGGCAGGCACAGGAAGCGCGGGAGAACACGTGTCTGCTCCAAAGGTTTCGCCGATTTGACCCAGCCGAAGGTGGCAAGGTGATATTGCGCAACGACGATGCAATGTGTATACTCAGTTGGTGCTTTCTTCTTTGTGGTTGTTGTAAACCAACTCTCATCCCGAATGCTGGTCCATATCCCAGTTGGCTTCCAATCCAATATGCCGTCAGCCTCGCGTCTGGTTGGCTGGTTGGCTGGTTGGCCGGTAATGTTGACCCCACAATCAACCCGAGTGGCCTGATTCCCCACATTTCGCCCAGGCCCCCCCACAAATGAACACCCCACCAAAACCACATTAACCAAGAAAATCACTCACTGGACACCCACTGCACCCAGGGTATTTGGGTTGCGGAACGTCCGTGCGGTTGGCCAACCGGTTGGTAATGTTGACCCCGTATTAATCAAAACCTGTTTCTTCATAGGATGGGTGTGTGCCTCCAAAAGCGGTCTGATTCCCTAAATTTCGCACAGGGACACCCCACAAATGAACACCCCACCATGACCACAACAACCCAGAAAATCATCCACTGGACACCCACCGGACCCAGGGTTGCTGAACATATGGGCCCATGTTAATCAAACCCTGTTTCTTCTTAGGATGGGTGTGTCCTCTGATTCCCCACATTTCACCCAGAGAGACCTCCCCTATTAAACGACCCAAGAGTTGATGAACATTTCGCACCCCACAAATGAACACCTCACCATAACCACATTAACCACATCAACCCAGAAAATCACCCACACCCACTGGACCCAGGGCTGAACATCCTGCACCACCTAAAGAAACCCAAAAATGGCTCTTCCCCTGTCATGATGTCTTAGGTGGTGCGCATGGATTTTGTCAGTATGGGGTAACCACATTAACCCAGAAAATCTCCCACCTGGACCCAACTGCTGAACATGTGGGGTCAACATCAGGCGGCTGTCGGCTTCTGGTCCTGGACCGCTTCCCGCGGCCCAGACTGCGCCAACGCGGACTGCGCCTCCGCCGCGCTGCGCGCGCTGCAGCTGGGCGCCGCATGGCGCCAGGTGTCCGACCAGGGATTGAGAGAACTGCCGGCCCATGGGTGTCCACTTTGGTTGGTGTCCTTTAAAAGTTAGTTTGGTTGGACATCGATGGGTTCCACTGGTTTATATTTGTTTTATTGCCCAAGCCCATCTATATTTCCAGAGACCCGCTTTTGAAGCACCTGGAAGCCGACATCTTGGTTCAGCCCGCAGGGCCTGGCGCTGGCGATGCTGTCGGGCACGCTGAAGGCCCAGCCGGCGGCGGCGGAGAACTTGGAGAAAGCGCTGGCGCGCCCGGGCGCGTTTGAGGGACTGCTGCGGCACCTGCGCCAGCTGCGGCGGGAGGTGCTGCGGAAAACGGCGCGCGGAACTTGGAATTTGAACGGGGACGAGAGGTCGCAGTCGCAAATGGCAGGAGCTGTTCTGGGTTTTCAACATGCCTCAGCGCCCCAAGTCAGGGCATGTTGAAGGTGACTGCTGATTGGTGAAATTGGGGCCAGGTGTGATGGAGAATTCGCATGTTGCTCGAATTTGGGACATTTCTTGATTGACAACACCACATATCGTGAGGTGGGGGGGGGGGGCAGGGCGTACCAATAAATCGATGCCTTGATCAAGACCCCAAACTTGTCCAAACACTTGTGTCAACCGCTGCTTGTTGGGTCACAGCTGAATAGCACGTAGTTCAATTGCCGATTCCAAGCCGCTCGCGCGGTCCCGAGCTCAGCTGTTCATGGATGTTTGCATCGAATTTGTCATCCAAAAAAGACTGACATTGCCATTGGCAGGTCTGGCCCAGCATGGAAAACACGCCGGAACAATGGCGCCCCTAGAACAGCGCCGCGCCCACGTACCACGCATGTGGAAAAAATGCCAGGTACAAGAACTTGCCGCTGCTGACGCGCATCGGTGTCCGCAGCTCAGCATGTAAAAGATGAGAGCTGGCGGCTCGAGATTTCATGCAGCTGCAGGGCCTGGCGCAATTTTTTTTTATCGGCCGTTGCAAAAGCAGGTAACCACCCCACTGGCAAGCCAGTCTGCCAGTTGACGGCCATCTTCGGGTGCACCGTCCTCGTGCAGCTTGGCTTCCTGGATCCCATGCTGCTGGCCCTGAATTGGCCGGTGGTCATCAACAAGTTGCAGGCGTTGCCTTTGCACTCGCCGTCATCCAGCGGTCACAGTCCGGCGCTTCTTTCCCCCAGGTGTGGCGGCTCTTGACTCCCGTCTTGTTTTTCGGGACGTTCAGCTTCCAATTCTTGTTCCAGATGTGCGCCAGCATATCGAAGATTGCCAGCTTGGAATCGTGTTTGCGCACGTTGCGCGGAACCAACGTCACATGTTGCACACATGTATGTTGTGCATGCAGCAGTTCGACCCCGCCCGGAGGTATTTTTTCACATCCTTTTCTTCTAAACTTGAACAGAACGAGGCACGCTGCTTTTGAGTATGCATCAGTCGGAACCAACATTACCCTTGCAGGCATTTTCACAGCCTGGCGACTACCTATTTTTCCTGCTCTTACAGATTCTGGCGCCGCTGGCATGTTGCAATGCGTTGCTGCCACGGTGGAGTTCACTGAACCCTGGCTATACGGCTTCAATTGTTTCACTCTGTTTGAGTACGTCACCCATTGTAATTGGATTCTACAGCCAGAATGACATAGAAGAGTCTTATGAGTCTTGACGGACCGCCAGATAGGCCAAATGGTTGCGGAAATGGATATAGCTACAAATCCTGATGCAAATGGCAACGAAGCATTGATCTTCCCTGGCAAAACTCAAGATGACTGGGTTCTTGCTTGCGGAATGAGCTTGCTCGGTCTCGTTTTGGCATTTTGACAACTTCAAGGCCCTAGGGACCTGACGGCTTTCGAACACCAACGAAGGACCCACCCCTCCGACCCGCCAACTGCATTGGCAGCTCTTGGACGTCATCTCGCTAGCGCTGAGCTGGCCAACGGGCCTGCCCATGCTGGGCCCATCCTTGGTGTTCGCCATCCTCTACTACTGGAGCCGCCATGGGGCCAAGTTGCGAAGGGTGTCTCCTCAACTGAGTCACAATCAGAACCCGGGTAGATGAAAATTAGTAAGGAATAATCCCAGCAGGACATGGGTGCGGATGTCCGCAAATGTTAGTTCTTTACATGGTTCTGGGTGAACCATTTTCCTACCGAGCGGATTTGATTATGACTCAACTGGGCTTCGCACGTTCATGGCTTGGATGTTGTTAGAACTTGCCCCTAAAACATTGTGCATCGAGTTCAACTTGGGTTCCTTCCTTCCCTTCCCGTGCAAGAGGCATTTCCATACCCGCTCCTGTGGGAAGAACGGGGGGGTGCTTGACTTGTGTGCAACAAATAGGCAGATTGACTTGGTGAAGGCTGAAATGAGAAGTTGCATAGTGTTGTGGGCAGATTGTTTGATCTAATCTCCTTCCACAAAAGGCCTGTTTCGTTCCCAATCGTTCTCAGAGGCCCAACTAAGCTTAGGGACCCACCGACGACCAAAACCCAACTCAGGCCGTGAGCCCTACGCGAAGTTGTCCTTCTTTAGTTTCGCCATCCAGGCGGGGCAGGGATGCATCCGGACTGGGTGAGATGAGAATTCTATTTGATCTTTTGTGGTGAGACGGCGGAGTCCGGCGTCATCTGTGATGATTGCCATTTGTGTCTATATGGCCATGGTTCAAAGCCAATGGTACCATTTTGGACTCCTTTTAATGGGGATTGGGATGTTCACTGGGGGTGCGGGATTTTGACCCATGGCCATATGACTTGGTGCCAGGGCTACCAGTTCCCCTTCGCCCTCATCTTCTTCCAGCTTCTGATAGGCAGGGCCTGCGTGGATCGCTGGAGCACGACTTTTCGGAACCTTTCAGGGGAGACTGTGCTGGAGAGACATATTGCAAGAAGAACACAATCAAGGCGAACAGTTTCCGCTACGTCATGAGTGTGGTTGCGTGTTTTTGACTAATAGCAGTGTGCATTGATTGCAAGACACACATAACAAAAAGTTCTAGTTTGCAAATCCGAGTCGCTTCATAGGATTAGTTTTTTTTGGTGGTGGGTGCTCACATCATTTGCCTTGGACATTTGTTGTAGAACATTGTGGAAGTTGTGTTGGTCGAATCGAATCGCGAGTTGAACAAAGGCTGGCGGTGCTGCTGTTGGTGCTGTTGGTGGCGGTGTTGCTGTTGGTGGCGGCGGCGGCGGCGGTGGCGGTGGTGGTGGTGGTGGTAGTTGCTTCCGTCCTGTGAAGGGTTGATGCAGGTCGGATGGGTCTACCATCAATGTCGCCATCCATCCATTTCAATTCCCCTTCGCTCGTGAGGTGGCAACATCTGGATGGATCTGCTGGGCTTAGCGTCTGGACACATTTATTATTTCTTAGCGGAGGCGCGGGCTTGTTGACACTGCGAGGATGATGACTCAGTGCATGCTTTTGCACGTATAATCCATTGTTGGGATTTTTTTTATCCACTTGAACATCTACAGCAGCTTCAAATTAACGAGTCAACAACCTATTGGCTGCAAACGCTAGTCCACGAGCATCTGCATTTTCTTGTGCACGCGTTTTCCCAGAAGTGACTCGGCTACGGTTGATTCCCAGGTGGTGCCGCAAGAGTACGGCTACAGCCTCATCAAAACCCCAGCCTTCTTGGCCAACTTCATGGCGAGATACACTGGAGGCACCCATCTCGGGTCGAGATAATTATCGAAGGAACTCAAAGCCACACGAGAACAGTGTAAATCCGTCCGAGTTTCGGGACACCGCACATGAAGGAGCCGCTCTCACAAGGAAGTCACACAGTTGGGATGTCGGCGCACCTAAGCCATTGCGTGTTTTTCCCGGATTGGCCACCCTGGGATCTGCCGTTGTTTTTGGGGATGTCAGGATTTCGGTGCACGAAACTGGGCCGCAGGTACAGTGCGTGCGCCGCAACCCACGCAGTTCCAGGGCAGAGGTCCGGGGGCTTGGCCAAGAGACCCTGTGAGCGACATCATACGCCGATAGGGCGATGACCATTACCCTAATTATTATTGACAAAACACCCATAAGGCAGTCCAAAAGGAGATGGGTTCTAAAGGTGTCCAGTTCTTGATCATTCGAGCGTTTCCAGGACTTCTCATGGGATGGCTTTTGGACAGTAACCGTCGTTTGACTTTTTGTATCTTGTCCTTGGTCATATGGGAATTACAGCAACATGCTGCCAAAAGATCCCAACCCATCATATGTCTCTAGGAGTTCATTTGTTGGCTCACAATGATAACAACCAGGATGGGATAATGAAAGTACCGATCGGACTGCTATCTCTTTCCTCGGTTATCAGCTGTAATCTGTTATCTCTCGCATATCCAATATCCATTTTGCTGCAATCACATGATGACGATTGAGATATAGAAAAGGAACGGTGAGAGGTGGACAAGAGAGTGAGTGTCCATGAGAGATAGAATGCTTCTTAGATGATTTTTTCCTTGGTCATTCGATTTTCACCAGTCCATCAGCTCGACAATTGACAATGGAACTCCAAATCTGAGGCTGCAAGATCATGGACCCTCGTGCCCAATGGGCTTCACCAAAGAGGTATATTCTTATGTTTGATTGCTCCGAGGCTTTCGTGCAGTTTGGGCATACAACTGTAGATATTTGTTATGTGTTCTGTGTATTGTTTCATAGAATGTTCGGCTGATTTTTTCTTGAAGAGCTGGTGCGAACTGAAACAAGCTGCCATTAGTCCTTGACATGACGCGTATTTCCAGGGCTTTGGACAGCTTGACAAATTGTGCAAACTGCAGATTGCAGGTAGCCTTTTCACGTTCGCGGAGCCGTGCGGTCATAGCACAAAAAACACGGGTGGTTTGGGGCCTCAGTGGTCTTTATTCAAGAAAACATTGACCAATGACATGAAGGGACGTTGGTGATTGCACCCTGTTTTTGCAGGGATCGACCGCAGCTGAGGTCGCACTTTGGGTGGCAATTGAAACTATGGCACCCTCCCGGACAGAGAGGTGTGCGAATTCAGCCGCAGTTTACGGCCTGTAGCATAGGTCGCAGGCAGAGGGGTGCGCAAAGGCCCGAGCATGGGCGGGTACACGTTGCCACGTGCAGTAGTTGAGATACAGCGCATTTGCCACATACTGCCGCATGGTGGCAAAGCCATGCAAACGTGCGGTGCATTGAAAAGATGGGATGCTATTGGGATGCTAGATTAGCTTGATTGTGATTTGCTGTGTGCGATGGCGTGTGGGATGTTGGTCAAGCAGCGCCCCAAGTCTGAGTTGATTGCGTCTTTGTTGACTCTGCTGTATTTGCGTCTCAGCGAGGATGTAGGATAATTAGTTCTTAGGATCATTCAGATCTAGCAGGCTGCAATGGGTTCGTCTGGCTCCAAAGGACAAGAGGCTGGCTGCATGGGAGCAAAAAACAAACACAGACCGCAGAACTTTGTTTTGCCAGGCTCCTCCAGCAAAGAAGCCCACCATGAAGATCTGTTGTGCATGCCCGGAGACGAAGGCGTGGTCCCTTGATCCCTGGCTTGCGTCGCTTGCGCCAAGCGCTGTGAGTGCAGGCTGCCCGGGACGAATGTATTGCGATGAATGGCGAAGAGAAATGCAAAGCTTTCATCGAAGCCCACAACCGGTGTTTACGAGCAGAAGGCTTCGACGTGAAATGAGCGCATGGTAGCAGCTTGGCAAGAGAAACTCGAGCAGCGATCAGAGTGGCAGAAATGTTTAGTCCAGGTGCCCTTAATTACCCGAGTTTTGCAGTACATTGCAGTTGGCCTACTATAGTGCAAAGCGATCAGCATAGCCTGGATGTTTGAACTCTAAGGCCAGTTTTCTGATGCAGGATCTTGCTTCGCTAGCGACTATCCTGGTTACAGCGAAACCTGGCAAAAGATGCGGCAGCACTGCAGAGATTTTGAAGGGACAGGGGCGCAGCATCAGCATATCATCTTTTTGTTCAGGGCAGTTCTCACCGTGTAAGCGGACTGACCAATTCGCGTGGTGAGTCAATCGCAGGTAGTTTGATTGCTTTGCCGAGCAGCGTTGGCTCAGACTGCTACAATTTTTGGTTGACAGTGAAGCCAGGCGGCTTCTTCAACAACAGAGGCGCTGAAAAAGGGCGAATGGCACTTTGAATCGAAGCGATTTTTGTGATTTTGCTGGCCAGCTTCAAAATCAAGAAAAACATCCGCAGATTTCCTTTTGGTGTTTTGGAGTGGTTGTTCCAATGATTCACTCGGGTTCTGCCAGCCAGCTTCTACCCACTGGAGCGGAGGGCGCAAACTCTGAGCGGAGAACTTCGGGGAACTACTCGCAACCAACTGTGACTAAGCGGCAAATCCGCCAAACCGATGGCCGAAACAGCTGCGCACAGCGGACAGAAACGGGCTCGGCAAAGACAACACATCTTCGAGTTGTCGCAGCAGGCTTCCCTGCGTTCTGGTGTACTGTCATGCGCCTGTAAGCATTGCCTGAGAGCCCAGGACAAGTCACTAAATGTCTGAAGCTCGGAAATCAGTGCGGATCGCGGACAAGCTTTTGAGCTGGCATCCCAAAACCCTTGGGGCACGGTGTTCTTGGCTTTCCAAAGGAAGGAAGGGGAAGGCCTCAGGGGAAAGGATGGTTTAGAGGAGGGGGGGTTGTCGCCAGGCAAATGGACAAAGCGGGACCTCCTTTGCCTCCCCCGGCTCGCGCGGGGCTGAAGGGCCCGAAGGGCCCGAAGGGCGAGCTGGTGGCTTGTGCGATTGGCCGAGACCGGGTTGGAATGAGATTCCCTGAAATCCCCACAAGGGATGGTTTACAGGGGTCATTCCCTCATTCCCTGAGCACCAGCAAGCTTTGTGGATGATCATGTTGCACGATGAATGCACGTCTTACAAGATTTCGGGGCACTCTGGTCAACTGAGGTCCAGACAACGATGCGAAGAAACTTGCAGGAGAAGTGGACGAGTGAGCGCCTTACGTTTTTGGACACCCGCCTTGCAGGCGCTTTTGTGCCTCCAGGTTTGCTTGCTGGGAAGAAGCAGCCAAGACGCCTGCTGAGCTGCGATTGCAGACAGGCCATGCGCCGAGTTGCGAGGCTTCCATTTCAAGTGTGCAGACCCAAACTGACTTGCATGGGATGCGGCGCACTTGATACTTCGGCCCCAAGCTGTGTGGCATGTGTGGCTGGCAAGAGCCCTCTAGTAATTATGCGGTGGTCAAAACCTCGGGCACCATATGGCCGTGGGTCTAAACCAAAGCTACCATTTTGGGGGTTTTCGGTGCACCCGGGTGCACCACCCATGTTAGAACCTATTTTAGTGGTTCACTCGGGGTGCGATTTGGATTTTGACCCACGGCCATCTTCTTTCCACGACCCCCGATGCGCAGCTGCTCGGAGCAGCCCTTTGAGAGGCGAGAGCTGGCACGGGTACAGCTTTGGTGCCAAGAAGCTTGGGGCTCAGCGAAGAATCCACATGGGCGCATTTCTTTTTTTCTTCAGGGAAGTTTTTTTGAGGGAAACACCTTTTTTTGTTTTCAGGGAAGTTTTTTTGAGGGAAACACCTAAATTTTTGTTTGGTGCGCATTTCGTGTTTTTTTTTTTGTTTTTTTTTTCAGGGAAGTTTTCTTGAGAGAAACACCTAAATTTTTGGTTTGGTGCGCATTTCGTTTTTCTTTTTCTTCTTTTTTTTTCTCCCTCTTTTTTTTTCAGGGAAGTTTTTGAGGGAAACACCTATTTTGGTTTGGCCTTTCGAGATCCAAGTTAGGAACTTCAAAAGGTTCGGGGAGACTTCTCCGAAGGATCCAATCTTTTGGAGTTCCCCCATTTGGGTGTGGCTCAAAATTAAACGATCGGAGGGGCAAACCGCAGGTTTTGGTCCATGCTAACCCACTTACAAGGGCAACCCATTTCGGAATTCCGGTTTTTTGAGCCACAGCCATTTTGAGGCAAACCAAGATTCAGGTTTCTTGGCATGAACGCGGGTTTGAGATCGGAGACGTAGACTTCATCGATGCAATGCCGCGCCGTCGCGGACTCATTCGAGGTCCATCTCCGGGGAGGTGGTCTTTGCAACCCCGATGATGGGCTACCCGGAGTCCTTGACGGATCCCTCCTTTGCAGGCTCCTCCGGTGTGGGACGGAGGGGAGTCTCCTGATTTTTTTTTTGGGGGGTCCCTGTAGTCAATTGCGCGTTTTCTGGCTGTGCCTCATATTGTAGGAGCCCCTCCAATGGTTCGCATTTCTGTTTGGTTCGCTTTCCCTCCAGAAAGGGGACCTTCATGTTGGCAAGCTCCCAAATGTCTCGCCGGTGCGCTGCTCTCAGTCTTTCTGTAAACACTGAGCAATCTTAACAGTCAAGTGTTCGGAAACATTTTTTGCTTGTCCACTTTGTAGTCCTGCCACCAACGGGCACGATCTTGCGGGTGTACTCTCGGTGTTTGCCCGCAGAGGAGTTGACTGGTCGCACCTCCCAGCGGGGTGGTGTTGTGTGACGGGTGTTGCAATCAAGGGTGTGTGATATCACTGTTTCCATCAGCTGACCTTCATGTCCATTTGGCCCTGTGCGCCAACGCCCTCTTCTTTTTTTTTGGTTTCCCTCGGAATGGCCTCTAGTTGCGTTTTGACCTTTTCTCGCCCAAAGGTCAGATCCTGGTTTTGACCTATCCGCTGGTGGGCAACTATGGAGTGCCGCCCGATGACACGGATGAGTATGGCCTCCCCAGGCCATGGACGAGTCCAAAAGACGGCTGCGCGTTTTTTCCCTTCTCCGGCCGGTGACGTGCTTTTTTCTTTCTTCTTATTTTTGTGTTCTTATCTTAGCTAAATATAATTTAAATGCACATATATATGTATATTAAGCAAAATATGGGAACCCCTCAAAAGTAGTGGACGAAAATCCCCAAATTCTGCTGTCCACCAAAGGGTCTCTTTAAACAAATGCCCCATTTTTGAACTTTGCGCCGCATCTGCGGAGGTACTTCGAGGGGAAGAAGATCTATCCCATCGCCGTGGTGGTCGCTGAGTACTCCTTCGTTGCATCGCACTACGCCGCGGTGAAGAGCCTTTCCACGTGGCTGGAAGAGCATCTTGACTGTCTTAGAGAAGTGAACCAGCCCCATAAATGGGTCCACTCCTTTTGGGTTCCCTTTAAGCAACCAGGGGTCCAAATCCCAGGGTGTGACTTAACATATATCCCCCAAACAATAAAGTAACAAATCGGCGGTTCCCTTCTCGCCACCTATTAAAGCCAGCCCCAAAGAAACAGCCCCCCCCCCCACTTGGGAGACGATCAACCATAGGTTGACTTCTTCTCATGGACGGCGCGCGGAAACGATTCCTTGCCACCTTTTAGTTTCCTGTTTGTCAATATGCCTATTCTTTCACCTTGTCATGTATTGAGCCGATGGGAGTCTCTACCAACATGGGTCCGCTGTTTGAGAGAAACCCAAGTGAGGGTGTGACATGGTTACAGCTTTGACCTTTTCAGGCACGGCGTGGCCGGTGTCTTCGGCGTGGATACACGTGCGATCACCAAGAGGCTGCGGCAAGAAGGCGCCGGTCTTTTGGAAATGCCATTTCCAAAAGGTTGCGAAAACACCCAGGGTTTCCGTTCAGAACCAAAAACAAAGTGGGGTTGTTCCGAATCCCATTTTGAGATCATCTCGATCTCGACATTTTGATTGTCCTGTTGCTCTGGCCTTCTAGGTTAAGGAGCCAATAAAAAGCAAAGAAGAAAGGCGACCCCCCCCACATGTTGTCGAGATCCGCGTTTTACCCCAGCACAAGTCGCAGGATTGATACCGATGAATCTATTTGATGTGGTTCCCCCCACAGGATATTTTCTTAAGCGTCGCCCAATTTTTTGCGCTTGGCAGCAATCAGTTGAGAGGCTCCGCTCTGGGCGCCGTGGTGGTCGGGAAGGATGCAGTGCCAAAGTTGCAGGCGCGAGAAGCGGCTTTCGCAAACTGGGCTTGTGTGTTTGGGGGATCAGCACATGAGCCACAATCAAAACCGATTCGGGTAGATGATCCGATTAGTCAGGGACAATCCCAATAAATTGCTGCGGATATCCGCCTTCTTAATTGTTTACACGGGTCTGGGTAGACCATTTTACGACCGGGTTTTGACTATGATTCACCTGGGTTTGTATGGTTGGTTTTGGGGGATCAGCACATGAGCAGGTGTTATCCGTAGCAGAAGAAGCGACTCGCACGCGGTGTTGGGGTCCAGATGAGGCTTGGCCCGATGTTGCGCGATAGACCACGGTCGACTTTGCGTGACATCCACAATGAGCGGCACAGCTGGTGGCCCGACCACTGCGGCGACGCGCTGTCGAATCTCCCCGGCGCCACAAGCAAAGCATTGGCGTGTCTGGCGCGCAGCCCTTGGTCGTACAAAGTCAACCGCTGCTCGGCCTTGACCGGTGAACAAATTGCAATCCAAGATCACATGTGGTCCAACAGCTGACTCAAATGTGAAGATCTAGCCTGTTGCCCTCAAAAGAGAACAAGCCCGCATCCAGACATCTCGAGTATGTTGCCTGTCTCATACTGAATGGTGTGGCACGTGATCTGCAGACAGGATCTCAATAACACCAGCCATGATTGCAGGCAGCAGGTGTGTGTGTGTGTGTGATGCTCGAGCGAAAATGTGGCGCACGGCGCCACCGCGTGTGCACGTGGGAGTCACTGAAAACAGTTTCTCGAACCTTGCCAGCCGGGTGCCTTCTTCGCGCTTCGGATTGTCAAGTGGACGAAGTACAAAAGGGTGACCCTGGTGGAACCATGTTGGAGCAGCTTCTCATTCAAGACGTGCGCGCGGTGTAGGGTAGCCCCAATGTTGGTCAAAAGGAAAGCTCCTCACACCGAGTGCCAAAACCAAATGGCTTGGGCAACTGATTTAATGCTTAAGCCGGATGTCGAAGCGGAGCTACGCCTTTTCAATGCTGTGGACAAAATGTTTGGGCAGTACGAACGGCCGCTTTTTCCGTCTCAAATGCGCGCGCGAAAGTCATTGCGCCGCCTCTGCTATAGCGGCTGCCGCCTTGGCTTCTTGGAAGGCAAATCGTGGCACACGCCAAGACGCACGATGTGCGACAGCGCGCGCAGCCCGGCGCGCTATCCTCTTGTGCAACACGTGGATCCTTGTGTGGTGACTGGGAATGTCCCTTAGGAGCAACGAGAGCGCTGCTTTATCGGCGAAACAATCGGTGATGATGCACTTCTGACCAGTTGCCTACCCTCCACCCAACTAACATGGCGCCTGTGAGCGGGTACCGGGAAAATCAAATTCCTATTGCTGGGACCCCCTTTCAGGTGCCATGTTAGTGGGAGAGAGGGTAAGTTTCTCGTCTGCAGGCCTCGGCGTGTGCAGTTCGGAGCAGCTGTCGTCTCGTCATATCCACCCAGCGACTTGCTGCGCGACCCAAGGGAGCAGGTTTTTGCTACAAATCAACGAGCAACCGGTCAGGTTGGTCTTGATTTAACGGCTGCATGACATGTGGGTTGGCCCCTAAATGCAAAACCTCTAAATCTTCGATAGCAGATTCCCCTTATCTCTTAAACACAAGCCCCAAGAGGAGGGGATCCTCCAGAAACAACCGCATAGGCCACATGATTGACACCAACGAATTGCACAAGCCGTAGATGTGTTTATATGACTGTGCCATGTTTCGAGGCGACCCCTTTTGGAGAGATCCCCACGGTCTACCCAGTGAAACGCACCAGGACCCCAACCAGCGGAATCTCGTGGCAGAAGTCTCCGTGCGGGGCTGCCAAGCGGATGGAACATACCAGGGTGAGAGAACGACTGAGTCGTGGGATCCGGCCGTTTTTTGGTTGGTTTCAAAAGAAAAAAACCAAAAGGAGACCGGAAAAAAGAGCACGCATCTGGGAAGGGGAATCAAGGATGCGTTTGGCCTGTTGCATTCTTCAATCGCTGGGTCGCGACTCGCAGAAGAACATGTACCCAGGTTCTGTGGGTGAGAAATGGCGTCCCACAAAACCTGCCTTGACGGCATCTTTTTCCATGGGCGCAGGGTTTCTGATTGCAACACTTTGTCGCCGGAGATCGATGCTTGAAGGTGTTTCAATTCTTGTGGATGTGCGGCTGGTGTTCATCTCGGCCGCTTCAGGACCAGCCCGCAGCTCTACGAGCCCAAGGATGGCTGTGGTGGGGAGGGCCTGGGCCCCAGGGTGGTTGCAGGGAGCAAGCCCAGCGAATCGCGTGAAACGCACTTGTGGCTCAAAATAGGTACCCCAAATGGCACCCTGGTAAATGGAAGCAAGGGCTACAACCCGCAGTCCCATGCTGGTTTAATTTTGACTCATACCCAGCTCGCCCAGAAATCGCCGATTGCCAAGGCAAAACGCCTCTCATTGTGGCCGTGGACTGCGGCATGAAGTCCCTGCCTTATGCCTTCCGAGCGGTTTGTCTGTGGTGTTCCAACCCCCTGAGCCCAAACTGTGTGCTTCCATCTGCCGTGTGACGGAGAGGTGGATTGCCTTGCGGCTCCTTTGGGAAGTTGCCATCCCAACGTGCTTCATGTCAAAATGCCAGGGGGGGGGGGAGAGATGGTAGTTTTCCTTTTGGTTTCCCAGAAATAATAATTAAAAAAAAGACACCTTCAAAGCAAGAACACGGCGCACCTCCCAGGTGGAGACCCCATCCCTCGCAGTTTTTCCTGGAGTGAAGACTTGAGGTTCAACATTGTGCGGTACTTCATCTACTACCTGCGGGTGCGCCTCAAGGTTGTGCCCTGGGACTACGACTTCTCCAAGGAGGCGACGTGGATGACATGGCGGGATGGCGTGGCTGGAGGGGAATCGGCAAGTTGGCTCCCTTTCCAGCAAGGAGAGAAACCCTTGGAATGGACCAGACTGCATTTTTTGTTTCCAGACCCATTTGGCGTGATTGGCCGAGCAAAAGGCCGCGGCCTTTCCTTGGTGACCTGAGGAATTTGACGGGCTCTTCATCAGCAACGGCCCTGGAAACCCCGAGATGCCGCTCCCTCAGCTGTGAATGTGGAACTTGGCCTCTTGGGCTCTCAGCAATCGTCTGACCATGCTTCTTGTCGACCACAAAACGGCCTCGCCTTCGCGTTGTCTCCAGAAGTGAACAACCATCAGCTGAGGTGCGACAAGACCGTGAAATGCTTGCAGAAGGTGGGTGTGGGTCAAACTAAACCACCAGGAATCGGACCGCAGGTTCGAATGTCCATGTTTCCATTTGCCAGGGCAACCCATTTTGGGGGTTACCAACTATTTTTGACAACCACCGCCAGGTGATGCAGGAGCGGCCCCAGACCCCCATCTTCGGCATCTGCCTGGGGCATCAGCTGCTGGCCCTGGCCGCGGGCTGCAAGACCTACAAGATGAAGTTCGGCAACCGCGGAGTGCCCCTCGGAATTTTCGAGAAGGAAGTCCACTGTGACATGGCCATGCGTCATGACCTATGCCGGCGGATGAACCCCCCATGTGTACCGCCTAGTTTGATGTTCACCAGTGGTAATGAGTCAAAGGAGGTGAATGATAGAGCCTTCCATTTTCGGGCGCATGAACACCCATCTAGCACCTGTTTTTCATGTTCACCAGGGGTACAGGGTTTTGACCCACAGCCACATGGATTTTAGAAAAATCTATCTGATCTGTGGCTTGCGTTGGAACAACTTGGGCATCCACGTCTCGCACCGAATCAAGGGAAACAGCTGTTGCGAAACAGTTCGCTCAACTCAGCTATCTTTCAACCCCAAAAAGGTTTCCTTCAAAGCCAGCCGGAATCTCAAACCATCCCCTTTTCAAAACCCGGGTTTTCTTCCAAGCAAGGCCAACCAAAAACAACTCGGGCGCGTTTTTTTTTGAGGAACCAGCCGTGCGTGGACCTGCGCACGGGGCGGTGCTACATCACCTCCCAGAACCACGGCTTCGCGGTGGACGACTCCGAGCTGCCCAGCGGCTGGAGCTCGCTCTTCGTGAACGCCAACGACGGGTCCAACGAGGGCATCGGCCACAAGGAGAAGCCCTGGCGACACGGCTGTGGGTCAAAACCAATGGTACCATTTTGGGGTGAGTGCACCACCCATTTTAGTCTATTTTAGTGGGGATTGGGTGTTCAATGGAGGTACGGGCTTTTTGACCCATGGCCACATGTGCGGTTGTGTGTGTGTTTGTAGAGGCTGCCGTTATTTTTTTGGGGTTGGGCAAGAAGGGAAAGCAAGAGGAAAGCAATCTCGTTTTGGGGTTGTTGCCTGGAATGTCGTGCTGCTGTGTCTTTGCGAGGCCGCCATTTTTTTGGTTTTGGCTGGAAGGACGCGCAAGCAAAAGGGAAGACCCTCGCTTGGGGGGTCTCGCATCCAGGAGAAGCCATGGCTCTCCGTGCAGTTCCACCCGGAGGCCAGGGAAAGGTGAGGCCTTTCGGTCAGATTGCGGTTTTGAAGGGAAGCTATTAAGGGCAAATGGCTGTGGGTCAAAACCAATGGGATCCCATTTTGGGGTAGGTGCACCACCCATTTTAGTCTATTTGAGTGGGGATTGGGATGTTCACTGGGGGTACGGGGTTTTGACCCATGGCCAAATAATTTCTTGGTGTCCCCTATTTTGAGACACACCCAGGAAAAGGTGGAAATGGAGGGCAAGATAATTCGACAAAGCAGATGTAAGGCAACAGAAGGTGGTTGTGTTTTTTCAAGATGCTATGGATATTTTTGTCTCAAACACGGGTCCCGTACATTCTTGTTTTTTCCTTTGGTGTCCCTATAAATGGGTGTGGCTCAAAATATAAACGACCAGGAATCGGACTGCAGGCTCTTTTCCTTAGTTCCATTTACCCGGGCAGCCATTGTGGGCCATCCAACTATGTTTGACAACCACAGCCAAATACCTTCCCCAAGATCTCAATACATATATATATTATTTTCAGATTCACAGTTATGTAGGTGTCTCTGTCTCTGTCTCTGTCTCTGTCTCTGTCTCTGTCTCTGTCTCTGTCTCTGTCTGGTTGGTTGGTTGGTTGGTTGGTTGGTTAGGATTTGATACCCAAATCTGCGTGTGTCTTTTTAGACTCCCAACATGCCGGACTGTTCCCCGGTAGTTTCCCTTTGAGACCCCGCGGATTTTTTGCTTCCCCCGGTGCGAGCACCCCAGGCCGCCTGCGGGCCTGTGGACACCTCCTTCTTGTTCGACGAGTTCTTCAACATCCTGAGGCAAGTGGTTTTTGTCTTTGTTTCGTTTTTTGCGGGTTTCTTCCTCTTTTTTTCTTCTGTGGGGTTGCCTTGGTTTTATTTTTCTGCGGGGTTTCCCTGAGGTTTCTGTGGGGTTCCTTGAATTCGTAGGGATTTTGGGTTTCCCTCAAGTTCCCTGCATGGTGTTCCCTAAGTTTTTCTGATAGGTTTCTATTGGGGTTCCCTGATACTTCTGTGGGGGTTCCTTTTCGCTGTTTCCTTGGGGTTTCCTCAGATTTCTTGGGGTTCGCTGGTTTCGTTTCGATGAGATGAGCAGCGGTTTGCAGTGTCACTCAGTCGCCCAAAGCCGAAGCGATTCTTCCCTCCAATTCTGACCACCAGTTCTTGTGAAGTTCCCAAAACGCCAGCCCTTTATTTCCAGGTCCTTTGGGCCAGTGAGGCCATGTATGTTTTTTCTCCCCCGGAGGTGTCAACGTCAACTTGGGGACTTGTCCTTGGTTGTAAGGGACTTGATGCTCGAACCATGGGGCGAAAAGCCCGGGAGCTTCAGGTCGCGCCCCCCCTCTCCGGAAGGGCATGCCTCATCTTCCCTCACGCGACACGGCGGACCTGCTCCTTTTGGTTGGAAGCCCACTTTTTGGTCTGTTTTAAGGCAGCTTTGGGGGTTCCCCCCATCATTGGAGACAAAAAGAAATGCTGTGCACGGGCGCCACCCGACACCTGAGCCCCTGGCCGTGAGGAATTCGCAGGGCAGGCCTTTGACGACCGTCAGCTACAAGCACCCCAAGGCCATCACCAAGGCTCGGGGGCATGAAGCCCCAAAAATGGCCATCTTTCTTTTTCCTTGAAACCAACCCCCCCTCCCCACAACAAACAGTAGTACACCCCAAAATCCCTTGCTCCTCGGTTTCCCTTTGAGCCACCCCAAAAAAAACCGTCGCTGCTCTTCTCGAAGCACAGCTCCTTTTTCGCCTCGCAGGTCTTGGTTCTGGGATCCGGTGGGCTCACCATCGGCCAAGCGGGCGAGTTCGACTACTCGGGCAGTCAGGCCATCAAGGCCCGCTGCGAACAGAAAGGCGGCGAACGCTAGGAACTCGGAAGGATCTGGTGGCGAACTGAATGAATTCGCCATTTGAGTGGTTGAACATGAATTGTCATTGCAAGGTTCCCTCTGAAAATTCACACCCGAGAGAGTGGCTGAGACATTT